CTGGGCAGGTCCAGAACTGATTGCTAGAGCCGCAAGCTTCCTGCAGGTGATGGGTGGTCAGAGTGGAGTTCCCCTGATCTAGGCAGCCACAGAAGTACTTGCTAGAGCTTAGTGCACCCCTGCCAGTGGCGGCGGACGAGTCTCCCCACTCTGGGAGGACCCAGAACTGCTTGCTAGAGCCGTGTGCTCCATGGGTGACAGAGTAGATCCCTGCTCCAGGGCTCTGGGCAGGCGCATAACTGCTTGCTAAAGCTGCACACCTCCTGCTGGTGGCGGGTTGCAGCAGAGGACTTCCCACTGCTCTGGGCAGGCACAGAATCACTTGCTAGAGCCCAGGACACCCCCACAGGTGGCAGCGGACAAGTTCCCCACTCTGGGAGGGCCAAGAACTGCTTGCTAGAGCTGCACACCCCACGGGCGGCAGAGTAGATCCCTGCTCCAAGGCTCTGGGTGGGCATAGAACTGCTTGCTAGCACACCACCTGTGGGCCACGGGTGGCCACAGAGGATTTTCCCTGCTCTGGGCAGGCACAGAACTACTTGCTAGAGCCTTGCACACCCCGCGGGCAGTGGCAGAGGAGTCCCTCACTCTGGGAGGACCCAAAACTGCTTGCTAGAGCCGTGCACCCCACAGGCAGCCGAGGAGATCTCCGGTCCAGGGCTCTGGGTGGGCCCAGAACTGCTTGCTAGTGCTACGGGTGTCCTACGGGCAGTGGCGGAGGAGTCCTCCATTCCAGGCAGACCCCAAACAGCCTTCTAGAGACATGCACACCCCATGGGGACCAATGGAGGAGCTCCTTGCTCCAGGCACCTGTGCTGGGTGGGCCCAGAATTGCTTGCCAGAGCCAAGTGCGCCCTGCAGGAGGTGGTGGAGGAGTCTAGCACTCTGGGCAGGCCAAGAACTGTTTATTATAGCTACGTGTGTCCCATAGACGGAAGTGGAGGAGTTCCCACTCCGGCTCTCAGGCTGGGAGGGAATAGATTGGCTTGCTAGTGCCGCACACGTCCAACAGGCCACGGTGAAGGAGTCCCCCATTCCCCCCAGCTACTCTGGTGGGGCCGAAAGAAGACTGATCTGATCGCTTGCGTACCCTACACTACTGCAGCCATACCCCCACCCCCTGACAGCTCCAGGGTGCTGAACTAGGACTGATCCGGCTACTGCCGGACTCCTGTCCACTGGTGGCGCCAGTAGGCTGAACGAGATCTAATCGGCAACGCACACTCCCGTGCAGCTGCTGACGTTCCGCTGCACCCCCGTTGCCCCAACACCCGAGAACTGGGAGTAGACAACAGATACGCTCTGCTTCTCTCTCTCTGGGCAACCAGAAGAAGCCACCAACGGAACAGTTCTGATGAGGCCCCCAAACAAGGTAAACTCAGAATGGGGCTGAATCAGTGGAAAAACTCTGGCAACTCAAATAACCAGAATAGATCAACTCC